AAAAAAAAAAAAAAAAAAAAAAAAAAAAAAAAAAAAAAAAAAAAAAAAAAAAATATATATAATAAAAAAAAAAAAAAAAAAAAAAAAAAAAAAAAAAGAAAAAAGTATTTCCATTTTTACTCTATACTTTCTTTTCTCTTTCTGAATAAATATTTACAAATCAGGTGCTTGCTGCTGCTGCTGACTCTTGTTTTTTCAAATTACCAATGTAGTTGATGGCAGATCCCGCTTTAAAGAATTCAACTTGATCTTTCGACATTGTGTGCTTGGCCAAAATTTCGAATTCTGATCCATCGCGTTTAGTAACTTTCAATTTCAAAGTTCCACCATTGTTACCCTCCTTGGCAATCATATCTCCCAAATCAATCGTAGTTATCAAGTCGCCTGCCAGAATCTTATTGTAATCTTCTTCATTGGCAAATGTCAATGGCAACATTCCTTGTTTTTTCAAATTCGTTTCATGGATTCTGGCAAATGATTTCACCAAAATCACTGATCCACCAAGGAATCTGGGGGATAAAGCAGCATGTTCTCTTGCTGAACCTTCACCATAGTTGTGTTCGGCAACAACGACCCATGGTCTTTGTTCATCTTTCCACTTCATCATCAATTCAGGGATACCATATGAATCACCATTCAAATCGTACGCTTTGTTTACTTCACCGGTTTCTTTATTCACTGCCCCAATCAAGGTGTTGTATGAAATGTTTTCCAAATGACCCTTGTACTTCAACCACGCACCAGCAGCAGAAATATGATCAGTGGTACATTTACCTTCAACTTTGAGCAAAACGTTGGTGGCCAACTCTTCACCATTCCATGGCTTGAATGGTTCGAGTAATTGTAATCTATCTGAGCTTGGACTAACACTTACCAGTACCTCTGGCTTAGGTTGTGGGTTTGGTTCGGGGTAAAACTCTGACCTACCTTTAATGAAACCTTTGTTAGGTAAATCAATTCCTTCTGGAGGCTGGAATCTAAATTCCTCACCATTTTCCAACTTGATGCTATCAGTTATGGGGTTGAATGCAATATTGCCAGAGTAAATCATTGCTGTTACCATATCGGGTGAAGTCAAAAAGTTCATGGTGTTTCTATTTCCATCATTTCTAGCTCTAAAATTTCTGTTGAAACTGGTGAAGATTGCATTAGATTCGGTAGATGTCTTTGGCACATCAGTTCTATCCCATTGTCCAATACATGGACCACAAGCATTTGCCAAAACGATTGCGCCATTTTTCTCAAAAGTGCTAATGAGTCCATCTCTTTCAATGGTTGCTCTGATATGTTCTGAACCTGGTGTAACAAAGAATGGGATTTTTGGCTTCAATCCTGCTGCTTCTGCTTGCTTAATGATTGATACAGCTCTTGACATATCTTGATAAGATGAATTCGTGCAAGATCCAATCAAACCGGCAGACACAGTCTCTGGCCAGCCTTCCCTTTGCGCAGTTTTACCAAATTTGGAAATAGGAGTTGACAAATCTGGTGTGAAGGGACCGTTGACGTGTGGTTCCAATTCGGAAAGATTGATTTCGATAACTTTGTCATATTCAGCACCTTCGTCAGCTTGTAAGAATTTGGCCTCTTTATTAACCGCATCTGCTGCATTAGCAACTGGCTCTCTATTTGTCTCAATCAAGTATCTTCTGTGTGCTTCTTGGTATGGAAAAATTGAGGTAGTAGCTCCAATTTCAGCACCCATATTAGTGATTGTAGCCATACCAGTACATGACAAGTTGGAAACTCCATTGCCAAAGTACTCCACAATGTAGCCTGTACCTCCTCTAACTGTCAAGATACCTGCCAAAGTTGTAATAACATCTTTTGGAGAAGTCCACCCGCTCATCTTACCGGTCAATTTAACACCCAAAACTTTAGGCGCTTTCAACTCCCATGGTGTTCCTGTCAAAGCATCAACTGCATCAGCACCACCTACACCAATGGCAATAGCACCAAGACCACCAGCATTTGGAGTATGTGAATCTGTACCCAACATCATCAATCCAGGAGCCGAAAAGTTTTCCAAAACGATTTGATGGATGATACCTGACCCCGGGCCCCAGAATTGAATACCATATTTCTCACCACAACTTTGCAAGAAATCAAACACTTCTTTGTTTGTTGCAATTGACTTTGTCAAATCCGAACTGGCACCATCTTTCCCCACAATCAAGTGGTCACAATGTATTGATGCCGGGACTGCAGTTGAGCTCATACCACAGGTCATGAATTGTAGCAAAGCCATTTGTGCTGATGCATCTTGCATTGCAACTCTATCAGGGTTCAACTTCAAGTATTCTTTACCTCGAATGTCATGAACATTTGATGATGTAAGACTTTCCTCGGTGTTGCATAAATGAGAATACAAGATCTTTTCAGCGAGAGTCAATGGTTGGTTGTTGACTATTTTTTTAACAGTTGCAAGCTTGTCAACCAATTTGGAATAAGGAGGGGTTCTAGATTCGTACTCTGCTGGAACGGGGTAACTGAACCCTTGTGTAGCTAAACATCTTCTGTGGAGAAGGTTAGTGAGTCCGTTACCTTGTCTCGTAGCTCTGGCTCTTAGCATTTGAGGAGAATAGTGTGTGCAATGATGAGGTGAGGAAACTGTAGAGCTGGTTGTCTTTTTAACCAATGAATTTTTCAAAATACTTGATTACAAAAATGAAAGCTCACACTGTACAGATAAAAAGAAAAAAAAAAATAAAGAAAATTTTCAATATGTGTTTGTGTTTAAATTATGACTCAGATCGAATCAAATTGCCGCGTCTTACTTAATATGGAAGCTTTGGATTCAGAAGAAGATGTCACGTGAAAATAACCTATCAAATAATGTATCACTATTAGCATACAGCTGTATACAACACATTCTATTGCAAGAATGCTACAACTAGTGCTCAGTCACTATTACTTCCCAATTCTTTACAATCCTCTGCACATCGATATCCTGCATTGACAAGCTCCACAATGAAAAGCATGGTCTCTGTTCCATCTCACAATCCTCTCCATGCCCTACTGACCCATCCACAATCACGTATATTGTCATCTTTAGCATCTATCTTGAAATTTGTCTTTGGATCAGCGTACTTGTCAGAAATACCTTCACCTGCGGGCTTTGAAATACAAATGTACCTTGCATCCGGCAAAAAGCATCTCAACTGTGATGATGGATACGGACAGGGACAGAATTTAGGTGCATCTACACAGATACCAGTATCGGGACACAAGTACCTGTTACATTGTGTGTTGAGCATCAAGTTTTCGTAGTCTTCTGGGTGCTTGACACCTTGAGCGTGCTGTGTAGCCCCACCAAATTGATGATTGATAAAATCAAACAAATTTGCCGAAGCAATGGTAATGAATAGTAGTAGGGTGGCTAATTGCAACATGGTTGTTCGTACGTGGTTCTAGTTCCTCAGTGTATTGAAGATGAATTCCTGATATTTCTGACACGTCAAAAAAAAAAATAAAAAAAAAATTAATTTCTTGTCGCGCTACCGGTTGCCGAAGCTAAAAAAGAATGCAGAACGAACCTAACAACACATCGAATGTATCGTTGGATGAAGAATGTAAGCTAGTCTTGATATGCCGTGTATAGCTCTTGCAGCTGATTATCTTTTCTATGAAGAGAAGACACAAGTACAGGCAATGGCTCAGGAAAAAAATGAAAAAAAAAAAATTAAAAACAATTGGGGCGAACTGGGAATCGAACCCAGGGCCTCTTCGAAATTTATTGCTCAGGCTTGAGAATACCCAAACGAAGAATCATACCACTAGACCATTCGCCCAATTTACAGTTGGGTTTTTTGTATAGACTTTTTGAAGAGTTTCAAATTAGAGTGGATTTGTTCAGAGTTGGTGAAATTTGTCATGATTTGAGCAAGTAGGGTATATTTTTAAGTTTATCACTGAGTATTCCCTACATTTATTAATGCGTTGACTTATTTGACTTGTTTAAAATGTGGTTTTTGCTAAAAATAAAAAATTTGCCTGAAAACTTTAGTCAATTTTCACAAACCAATCTTTCTTTTTTAAGGAATTTGTTTTATCAATGGGTTGTAAAAAGAGATGACACTAGTTAGAGATCCGTTAGCTTTAAGGTAACCCTTAACTTCAAGCTCAATTATTTTCAAGGAAAGTTGTATCATTGTGAATCGATGATGGTTGCGAAAAAGTATTTAATGTAAGCTATTACAAGACTCTAAAAATGACAACTCTGTAGCATCTAAACACCTCATGTGCATATTCCTAGTCTCCTTGTTAACCAACCACAATGCTCGATATTGATACCGATGTCGTCTTGAGAGTCAGCACTAAATTGTTTTGTAACTTAATTTTTTGAAAGATTTGTACTGGAACACTGCTTGTACTAAATCTACGAGTCAAAAAGCAAGCCCCTCATTTGATGGTGCTACGCACCCTAGAATCACTTCAGCGTTGTGAAATATGGGGGTGCTATAATATTGTAAGTTTCAATCCGTCTCTTAGTTGAGTCACTGCTACCAAAGAGCCAAAACAACCCTCTCGCGACGAACCGAAAGAAAAAGAGAAGAAAAAAAAAAAAAACAAAAGAACCGAAACTCCAGGTCAAAAAGCTCCAAACAAGCCCGACTTTCATCAATCACTGTGTAAAGATATCAAGCATGAGCAACGAAACCAAGCGCACAATCCCAACCCAGCAGGGTGCTACAGGTACACCTGTGTCTAATGCGCAGAGCTCTAATCAACCTGCATCATCACAAGCTCAGCGACCTGCACAACAACAACAACAACAACAGCAGCAGCAGGTGAGAAGCAACCAACCGCAGTACTCCCAAGCAGATTTGAATCGGATTGTACTTGACTACTTAAACAAGAAGGGCTATCATAGAACCGAATCAATGCTTCGATTGGAAAGCACAAACACACCGACGGCGGCCACTACTCCTGCTACTCCCGCAACCACTGAATTAATATCACTGGGTGAGCTTGTTCTGAACATTGAGGACAAATTGAGCAAGACTGATAAGGAATTGAAGGAGCTTAAAGAGAAGCAATCAAAAGTTGAGCGCGAGTTACAGGAAACAAAGGATCGTGAGGTAAGACTAGCCAAAGAGACGGATTTGCAACAATTGAAAGCTTTGGAGACCAAAACAAGAATTGAGAACGATTCGGATACTTACTTTGTAGCGTATTCGATGCTTAGAAAGTGGGTTGAATCTTCGTTGGACTTGTATAAGCCCGAGCTATCTCGTGTCTTGTATCCTTTGTTTATACATTGCTTTCTAGATTTGATAAGCAAAGGACATGAGGCTAAAGCCAAGGAGTTTTTTGACAAGTTCAAGTCTGACCACTTGATTTTGCACGGAGTCGAAGTGAGAAAATTTGCTGGGCTCTCGTTGCCGGAACATATACAGGAGAATGAAGTGGCGGTTGCTTATAGAAAACACAGATATAGGATATTGGTGTCGAAGACATCACTTAACTTGTTGTTGTATTTCCTTCATGAAAATGAGGCTGTTGGTGGTGCTATATTGATACGCATGATTAATCAATACTTGGATCCGGTGATTTCCAAAAATAGACCTGATAAGATTGATCAAGAAGGCGAAGCCAATCCAGAAGAAGGAATATCAGAGTACATTGCAAGTACAAATGAGTTGGAGAAATTCAATAGTGAAAAGGAAGTGAAATTGGGCAAGATGCCGTTGGATTCTGAGGTGAGCAAAGAAGTTGAAGCTGAATTGAAAGTGAAGGATGAGAAAGTACCACCAGTAAATGGGAAAACTCTTAGCGAGGAGTTTCAAGAGATGACAAAACCTGATGCTGACTCTCCTGCCAATGACTCCTTACCTTTGCCAATGAAAGATGCGACCGACATCAAGCGAATGATTTTACAAGTTGAGGATTCTCGGTCCAAGATAAAATTGGGCGCAGTACAAGCAAGCTCTCCATCTGTTTGTATGTACACTTTCCACAACACAAACAATGAAATGACTTGCGTTGCCTTTAACGATGACTCAACACTCGTTGCTGCTGGTTTCCAAGGAAGTTATGTGAGAATATGGAGCTTGGATGGGAAACCACTAGAATCTGCAGTTAAGAAGGATCGCAAGAACCACCAATTACCAGAGAATTCAAGGAAATTGATTGGACATAGTGGTCCAATATACGGAATATCCTTTTCACCAGATAATAAGTTTCTTCTCACATGCTCAGAGGATAAAACAGTACGTCTTTGGTCTTTGGATACATTTACGGCGTTGGTGTCATACAAGGGTCACAATCAGCCCGTTTGGGATGTCAAGTTTTCGCCCTTGGGTCATTACTTTGCGACAGCTTCGCATGACCAAACCGCTAGATTATGGGCAACCGATCACATTTACCCATTGAGGATATTTGCAGGACACATAAACGACGTTGATTGCGTTGAATTCCATCCAAACTCAAACTATGTCTTTACTGGATCAAGTGACAGAACTTGTAGAATGTGGGATGTACGCACTGGCCATTGTGTGAGAGTGTTTATGGGACATACCAATGCCATCAACTGTCTAGCAGTGTCACCGGATGGTAGATGGCTAGCTAGTGCTGGAGAAGATAATGTGGTTAATTTATGGGATATTGGAAGTGGTAGGAGGTTGAAAACAATGAGAGGTCATGGTAGGTCCTCGATTTACTCATTGTCTTTCTCACGTGATGGTACTGTTTTGGTTAGCGGTTCAGGAGACAATAGTGTAAGAGTGTGGGACGTTAAGAAAAACACCAATGACGCGGGACCAGAACCAGAGGCGTTTGTAAATGCAAGCAATGGTGAGGCGGGTGAAGAGAAGAATGGTCAGCAGCAGCAGCAGCAACAACAACAACAACAGCAGCAGCAGCAGCAACAGCAACAGCAACAACAACAACAACAGCAGCAGCAACAGCAACAACAACAACAGCAGCAGCAACAGCAACAACAACAACAACAATTGAGTAGAAGGGATGTGATTGCTAGTAGCGATCATATGACGGCACTTTTCACCAAGAAGACCCCGGTATTTAAAGTCCACTTTACGAGACGAAATCTTTGCTTGGCTGCAGGTCCCTTCCAGGAGTAAAGAAAGAAAACTAAGAAAAAGAAAAGAAACTGTTCATTGCCAAGTAAGAAAGTCCACTGCATCTTTGTAGTAGTTGTAAAATCTATAAAAATCTACGAATAATATTTCAAATCTCCTTATCAAAATTAAACGCCTTGGCAACGCAAAAGATCTAAGGGGATCTCATTACTGGTTAGTGGCTGATGGCTTCTCCTGCGGAATACTACAGATATACCGTGTATTTTTTTGCTAAACATTACATCACCATTTAGGAATGGTGAGCGAGTGAGAGTGAGTGAGTGNTATGTGTATGTGTATTGTTTAAAGTACGGCTATATTTTCAATTTCATGAATTGTGTGTGTACCACGTGGAGTCATTTATTTTTGTGTTTTTGTAAAAATGAAATATATGTATATATATTATACAATATACAAAATCTATATTAATATTTTTGACATCCACAACAATAATAAAGCAAAATAAAACAGCAAGCTTCAAATAGAACGGAGTTTACTCAAGATACACTTGTTCTTACTGGATGACGTAATTAGAAGCACGTGCTTTAAGTTGGGAGAGAGAGGGAAAGAGGACATGATTGTTTTACAGTTTAAATGTTCTCGAGACGTCTTTTAATATTCCTCCCCCCCACCTCTCCATCCTATTGTTTCAGCAACCTTTTCTTTTTCGTATTTCTTCACGGGGGAATTGTATATATAAATTTCGACATAGCCACAGCTCGTCACCGCCTTTCACAATACATGAACAACCCACACTTAGTATATATTTCACCGCATTAGGACATTTTAAATATTAAGAGCAGCTTTTTGCTGTGACGAAATTGCACAAAAATTTGAATTTTTGTATTTTTGTATTTTTTTTGGCGTACGAGAGGTTAAATATAAAATGTTATTTTTAGAATATTACACAGTTTTTCTATTTAACTCTACCAGCATCAAAATTCTCTCTCTCTCTCTCTCTCCCTCTCTACATATAGGTTTAAAGAAGTGGGTTATACACAGTTTTTTTTAACCCAAGTCCACCCTTTGTGTCTGAAGGAATAGCAAACTAAGATTCCAGGATTGCGGGATTTTTGTATGGAGGCTGTGAATGCAATGAAATGAAACATACAATCTCTTAATCCATTGTGCGCTATAGCACTAAATTACACAATCAATAGCAATTTACCGTTTGCTTTTTACCCCTATTGCTAGTCGAAACTTCCAACAATTTCAACTCTATGAGAGAGTTCATACTGTAAATTTTTTTGGCTATAAATAGGCAGTTCAATTCCCAATTGGCAAAATCTAACACCTTTTCATCTATTCTTTTTCCTCCATATTCAATTGTATCACATATTAACAATGAAATTCTCAACTACCGTTTTCGCTTTGGTCACCGTCGCTGCTACTACTTACGCTGCTGACTCATCCAGTGGTGGAGGTGCTGGTTCATCAGCCACTTCTAAGGCTGGTTCTGCTGCCTCAAAGGCTTCATCTGCTGTTGCCGGTGGTTCATCAGGATCATCAGGATCATCAGCTAAATCCTCTGGTGGATCTTCTGCTTCATCAGGATCTGGTTCATCAGCCGGTGCTGCTTCCAAATCCGGTTCTTCATCTGCTTCATCTGGCTCATCATCAAAGTCCTCTTCCGGTGATGCTAATGCCCTCGGTGTTGCCGGTATTGGTGCTGGTTCATTAGCCGCTGTTGCCGGTTTGTTGTTGTTGTAAGGAAGGAAAGTAAAGTCTATGTACCTAATACTGTTTAGAGTTTTATTACAAATTAACAAAGTTTCTACCTTATTTTATCCATTGCGGGTCATTGAATGATCAGACTGACAATCTACTTACTGCTCTACAATCATCGATGGCGCAATTGGTTGGCTTGAGTTGTTTGACTTGAGCTGTACAAACCTTTGTGAAGATGACTTCTACCTTCTATTCCTTTTTCTTACTTTTTTTTTTTATTTTTTTTATTTTTTTTCTTTTTAGGTTTTTACTTTTGCAGCTGCTCGTTGACATCCCAATACGAGCGAAGCCACCAAACAAATTATTTCTTGGCAGGGGGAGGGCGGGCGGTCTCAATGGACAGAAATGCACCATGAAAAACAAAAAAAAAATAAAAAGAAAGCGGTTATAGTCTTGTGACTTCTATGAAACTCTTTTCTTGTTACGTGGATTGACATGGCTTCACTTTCTCTACGACGAAGATTAGGGTCCTTGGAAAGTTTCTAAAAATAACTATGGTTGAGGAAGAGGATAAGAGGCTTAGACAGTGAGGCAGTCTATTTTTGGAGTAAGCAACAAATGCTACAACGATGCGTGTGTTGATACAGGAGAATGTGTCTCCTCTTACCACAAGACAGGTCGCAATGAAGAACAATGACAGATACCAACTTTTTGTTTCAACTTATAGCGTCTGATGCTATTCGTAGACGGCAGATTTCAAAAAAGATTATGTACATCGAGGCGCAGCTGCTTTTCTCCCACAATGAGAAGCAAGTAACCTTCTCTAGAGTGGTTGCTAATTATAGAATACACTTTTGAGTATGAACTTATTGAAGAGAAAGGGGCTTACTAGATGTAGTGGGTTTGCACCACTTCGTGTCACACTGACACAAAGTTATAAGTTATGTCCGCCCTCAATTAACAATCAAAAGCTTATTTATCCCTGAAGTCTTTCCTTACAACAGTTTCAACCCGGGTAATAGCAGCTTGAGTTGACTCTACCCACTGGTGAAACTTTTATACCACTCATTCACACACAACAGAATACAGTACTCGACTAAAGTAGGCGCGGAGATAACTGATCTACCCGCTTGTTTTTACACCGTTGTCGTTGGCATCAACTTCGTGTTTTGAAATATAATGCAGCCACTAATGACGCTAAGTTGGTGATAAACGTCAATCAAGAATTTGACTAGAGTAGTAGAGATAAAAGTTGAAAGGATTTTCCAGAGTCGTTTGTTCACACAAAGGGTCACAAGAACCACTGGAGTTTGGATCAAGGTTTTGCCTCCTTTACATCTTCCACTTTGCAACATGGAAAGATCAAACTTTTAGATGTGCCATTGAAAACGGTTCTTCTGATTAGATGGAGAGTCAAATTGGGGGGAGGGGGGGGAAGGATCTACAACGCATTTCCCATCAACACATGTCATGTCGAATTGTATTACGCAGACTCAAAAATTAATGATTTTAACAATAGGGCACCCAATGCTGGATCTCACGTGAGAGTTTACTGTTTCGATCGTACCAAACTCTTCGCTTAAACATAGCCATCGTTCAATTTTGGTAGCACACGCCACATTACGCATTCTCTTCGCACTTTGATTCTCTGTTGGGAAATTATGTATCGTTTTAGTGTGATCAACAAAATTTCCTAATTAGGAAGCACAGGAGATATTTTTTTTTTTTTTTTTTCTTTTTTCATTGTGCTATCAACATATAAAAGACGTAGGAATCCTTATACTTCACTCCACATTTCGAACCATAACCATAGTCTTTTCATCTTTCGACAAACATTAATTGGAGTTACACTTGCTGTCCTTTTTAATTTCCCAGCATTTCCAAAAGTCGCCTCATAGATCTTTTGCATAAAGTCACAGCTATTATAATACCCCAAAACGGATCAGATTAAATCACCAAAGTAATATACAGCTTCTTTCTTTTGATTCCACATTCATACAACATAATGAAACTTTCACTCACGTCACTCGCACCGGTTGCTGCTCTCATATCGTGCGCTATTGCCGCAGATCAATCAGATGTTCAGTTTTTGACCGCTTTAGTTGGGGACTACCAAGATCACAAGACAGATTATATAAGGTTCTTTGGAACTGCCAATGATGTTCCTGGAGCCTTGTCAACTTTGGCTACACAAGTGTTGACATACACCGACACTTCCTACACAACTTTGCTCGACAATAACCAATTAAACATAGGCCAGTTGGAAAGTTATGCATCCAACATTCCTTGGTACACGAGGATAGAAGCTGCCGCTGGTGGTAGTGGTGGTAATAGTGGTGGTAGTGGAGGCTCAAGCGGATCAGGTGGATCAGGATCCTCAAGTGAAAGCAGTGGAAGTGGGGGAAGCACCTCCCAGTCAAAAGGAAGTACTGCTTCAGAGACAGGATCGGCTCCTCCAAACTTTTCACAACCATCAGTTGCTTCAACCACGTCATACGATCCTCAAAACTCGGCAGACTCATCCAAAGCAGCTGTTGCCGCAGCTAAATCAGCTTCAAGAGAAGAAGCAGCAACTCAATCAGGATTGGCACCTGGCGTAGCCGCTCCAGTTGGTGCAGTGATTGGAGGATTAGTCATTGCTCTTCTTTAGAGAGATGTCATCCAAGGAAGAGCTTTGCCCAAGGAAGAGACCTTTACTGAGACAAGGCATGCACTAGTGATACCACCCTATTTGTCGAAAGAAAAAAAAAAAAAAGTACAAAGTAAATAGGATTTAATAAACCTATACTGTTTGTTTCACGTCAGTCCCCTACTCATGCGGTCATCAAGAGCTCTAAATACTTTAAATTCCATAAAAAGTTATCTTGGCAGTCACTAGGGATGGACCCTGAACCTGATTCATCGCATATGTTCTCCTTGACGTAGTTTACCAACCGCGATATATTTCGACCCAACAACTTCAATCCAAACTCAAATTCTTGATTCATGATAATGGAGCCTTGACTTGTTAGCACTTTTTCATTGTTGACGTCCTTTGAGTCGAAATACAAGGGAAACTTGAAAGGTGGTGCAGTATTCACTGGATTCTTGCCTGCTATCGGGTACACTTTACTATCATCCATGATGAAACTTTGGCTACCAAATAGAACCATTTTATATAAAAGTGGGGTCTCAGTTATCTTGGATAGTGTTGTCACCAATTGAACAATAAATGATATGCTGGCATTGACTTGAGAAATTGTAAACTCATGCCACTGAGATTCGGAATCAAAACTGGGCTCATAGTAGTAGTTTTTTAGGCTAGTTTCATTATAATAGCAAACGTCTTTCAAAGTCTTTATACTGGGAGGAAACTCAAAACCAAGAATGGAGAAACACGTTGTGGATATGTCACGAATTGAAAACAATTCGTTTATGACTAGCACGTCTTCCTTCAAACGTTGTTTGATCGCACTCTTTACTTCATCCCTGTTCTTCTTCACACTTGAGATCTCATGGTCATATATTTCAAACTTGTCTTTGATCAATTCCTGTAGATTTTCAAAATGCGACAACAACTCAATTCCATCGCTGACCTTTTGTTTGGCGTTGTAATTTTGACTTCTGATAATCTCGTTACTTGATGTTATTTTATTTATATCCAGTTCCAACGTGCGGCAGTTATACCTCAACTGGTCCAAAAGAATAGGGAGGTTGTTAACGTTATCAAAATCAATCTCACCAACATACTTGTGGATCTGCTGCTTCAATCTGGTTTTCGATACGTCAAGCTCCTTGATGGATTTGTAAATATTGTTTATAGATCGGAGTTGGTCAAAATTGTAAGAATTTATGGGTCTCAAAGGAGTCTCTTGGTACGTCTTCAGATCAAGAACCAGTCTTGTCGAAACAAGCATGTCAGGAAATGTATACCAGCTATCTCGTAGTTTTAGACAAAGCGAGTTTTCTTTGAACATGTCAAACGAGTCATCTTCTACCGCTATCTTCTCCCTTCCTAGCTTGTTGACATCAATTTTATAGAAACATAAAAGGCTCCATTGCTTGCCACGTCTTATCCATAATTTGATGATGCACTTGTGCGTATTCGAAGGTATATTGCCTAGGTTTGTCAAAAACTGAGGATCAGCATCCCCATGCGATATGTCACTAACGTATAACGGAATGTCTGATTTTGTCATGTGAATTGTGATCAAGGTATCCATTATCCTCTCCTCAGCAAACTCTATTAGCTTACGAGTATCATCGTACTCGCTCTCCAAAGCATCTGAAATAGTGGGAATGCTCAATAGTGTACTTCGCCGCCTCCCCAATCGCTTATGGGGGCTGCTCAGTGTAATTTCGTTAGCTTGCTGATTATACAAATTGAAGAACCTAATTGACCGCAAATCGGTCAATTTGTTGTTTTTCAGCACTGGGACATGCAGCGACTTCTTCTTATTAGAATTTCCAATATCCCCATTCATTTGGTATTTGATGATGCATCGATTTGATATTGTATATTTGCTTTACCTGTACTGGATGTATATCATGACAGATAAATACGTCACTAAAACAAAACGAAAGATGATGAAAGAACGAAAGCAAAAACAAAAAAAAACAAAAAAAAAAAAAAAGAAAAACAAGAGCATCAAAATCATAGAGACATTGACACACGCAGAAGTCTTTCTGAAAGCACAATTTTATCTCAGACAAAAAGAAGACGAGACTGATCCCTAGTGTTGAGGACTCGCCAATCAAAAGAGAACCTAACCATAACCCATCACTTGAGGTGAAACAGATGCTTTAAAATAACTCTTGAACGTCAAAAACATCAAACCTTCGATCCAAAAAATGTCAGAAAAGAGAGGCTTTGGATCAAAATTATCATCCATATTCAACCAGGGGCTTGCGTCTCCCAATGATAAAAAGTCACAAGGGCATTCTGCGCGAGGCATATCACTGTCTCCTTCACCAAAACCGACACCACTAAGTAAACCTCAATTGAAAAATAACCATTCTGTTTCGGCCACAACCACCGCACCACTACATTCAACTCATAATGGGGCACAATCCTTACATTCGAAGTCATCAGCTAGTACTTTGCGAGCAAATGCACCACTTGGAGTGCAGCATTCTGCGTATACAAAGCCTCAGACCCGCCATTACCCTGAAATAAACGTTACGCAACCCAAAAATTATGATATATATGCACAAACAGGTGCAACAAACCTGCACTATACAGACCCGAGCAGACAAAGACTGCCACAGAGACAAAAAGAGGATGAACTAAAACCAAGTTTACTCCCATTCAACACACCTCAACCATCTCGGAGCGACAATTCTTCGAGTCCTAAACCACTGACCTTGAGACGCAAACCACCAAGCGACTTGGATTCTTTTGACTTTGAAGTTCGTGATCAGAAATTTGATAGATCAAGTTCAAGCTCGAGGTCATTATCCCAATCAACAAAACCGGATAAAATTGGAACGGGCATAACAGCAGACATTATTGGTGATTTGGAATCTGAAATTGACCATTTTTTACAACTTGACCGATCAGACAGTAGTGATATCAAATACAATGATAGCAAGTCAGTTAGCAACAATACATTCTTTGAAGATGCTTCCCACCCTGATTTTGAACAACAATTAAACATAAATAGATCAAAAGCTTATGACGAGTTTGGCGACACGCAAGAGGATCTACACGGAGAGACACAGCAAACGCCTTACCCTGTTGACTCCTTTTTGGGCTCTCCATCGGATTCGCCCACGAGGACTCCAGAAGAATCCGTTGAGAACTCTCCACAAATTATTCAAAACTATATGATGGACACTCGTGGATTAGAGCAAGTTAATCCCTTTGAGATAACATTAAGTCAGCAATATTCAGAGCCACCTGACTCTTTTGATGTCCCAGTGTCGTCGCAATCCTCCGTTTATTCTTCTGCTTCTCCAACGAAACAAAGGATAGACTTTGGGGCCTCAGCTAATCCTTCGTCGTCATCAGACACAATGCATGCACCTAGCGGTGCACCAAGTATTCGATCTCCTATTTCAAGAGCATCAACCAATACGTCGAGAATACCTCCCTCCAATCTACCATTCCAATCCCCTACAAACTCGTTACATTATCACAACCAGCAGCAGCCACAACAACAACAACAACAACAACAGCAGCAGCAACAGCAGCAACAGCAGCAGCAGCAGAGTATTGGTCGTGCACAACCTATGCAAGTACATGCTCTACAATCGCCACCACCAGCGCAGTCACATCCACCACATCCACCACAACCACCACAACCACCGCAATTGCACCACACTTTAACTGACAGTTCTGGAGCATTTTCCTTCTCTCATGCCAACTCGATGAAGAGCTACAACACCCAGAATACAAATCGTGCGTTTCATCGAAATTCAAGCTCGGTGGGTTCTATAAAGAGTTCTAATTCATACAAAAATGTTAATCTAGCAAGTTTGAAACGCTCATTGAGTTTGAAACCAGGAGAAGGTGAGAGATCGAATTACGTATTGTCTATACGAAGAAGTGCAGGTACAGCTTTCAATGAGCTGGGACCATTAAGATGGAAACTACCTGTTGGAATATTGCCAATAGATAAACTGGCAACAAAGGAAAACTCAAACGGAAAGTACAAGCGACTTGCTGGTGGCATTAGTGGATCCAATTCACGTAAAAAGACTAGTGGGGTGGGGTTGAAACATGGTCATTTGAAGCCAAGGCTTTTGGCAGCTGAAATTGATGAAGGTGAAGACAATTTTGGAGGAATTGGCCTTGCTAGAACAACAACATCAAACACATCCATCCCCAACACCTTTAACTCTCGTAATCAATCGGTGAGCACAAAAGTGTCGCGTGAGAACTCATTAAAGAGAACCACCACAGATGGGTCAGCATTAACAGGAGATACTCAAAGTATTGTCAGTACTGCTACTGGCAGTACAAGAGATGTCAATGACGCCAGCCTCAATAGGACAAATTCTATTGTGTCGAGCGAATCGTCGGGAAGCTTGTCAGATAAAATCACGGGCTACTACCAGCATCGTGGCTACAAGTACGGTGACATTGACGAAGAGGCAGAAAGCAAAAGTGGTGAGGAAAGTCCCGATATGCCTCCAAACAACGGTTCCAGCTTAAATGGGCTTGACACCTATGATTCATACGGCAAGCAAGAGAAGTATAATGATTACGAAGAGGCTGAAAATGACCGTCCAAAGTTGGTTCTTGCCAACCCAGATAATGACAGTGATACCGAATGAATAGAAAACTGGTGAACTAATACACATTTGTAGTAGTTGTCTATTTTACCGATTCAGGTGTAGTTTTGTAGTGGTATAGTGAAAGAGTCGTGTCTTTATGCTCAAAAAGCCACCCAGTGCAATTTTTTTTTTTTTTTTTTTCGTTTTTTTTTTCCACTGCAAGTCTCTCTGATTCTCTCTCTGATTCTCTCTCTGATTCTCTCTCTCACCGTCGAAACACAACACGTCAATAAAACAACAAAATCACACAGTGAAATTGAACCACTGATTCAAAGCTTTCACATCCGCGTCTGCATCAATTGACTCATTTAGCAAAGAGCGCGACTGAGTAATGAGTGAAAGTGGGTATACGTTGATATATGAGCCAAATACGGCTAGCAAGGTTTCCGTAAATGAATACAAAACCTTGTTGGAAAAGGGAAAGGACGATGTTAAAGTTGATACAATGAAGAAGATCATAATCACCGTACTTAATGGTGACCCTTTACCCGATCTTTTGATGCACATCATTAGGTTTGTCATGCCATCCAAGAATAAAGAATTGAAGAGATTGTTGTATCATTACTGGGAGGTTTGTCCAAAACTTGACAGTTCAGGTAAAATGAGACATGAAATGATTCTTGTTTGTAATGCGATACAGCGTGACTTGCAACATCCCAACGAATACATTAGGGGTATCACGTTGAGATACTTGACCAAGTTGAAGGAGCCTGAGTTGTTGGAGACTTTGGTCCCCAATGTTCGCCAGTGCCTTGAGAACAGACACGCGTATGTGCGTAAAAATGCTGTTTTCGCACTTTGGTCGATCCACAAGGTCAGTGATCATTTATGCCCTGATGTTGATGAATTAGTCTACCGCTTTTTGTACGATGAGAATGATTCGGTTTGCAAGAGGAATGCATTTGTTTGTCTTGGTGACTTGAATAGGAATGCCGCGTTGCAGTACATCCAAGATAACATCAGTGTCATTGATACCTTGGATCCATTATTGCAATTGAGTTTTATTGAGTTTTTCAAAAAGGATTCATTGTTGAACCCAGCTTTGAAGCAACAATATGCCCAATTGGTCACTGAAATGGTTGAAAGCTCATCCAATGTCGTTATGTACGAAGCAGCAAATGCGTTAACATCCTTGAGCTCAAATTCAGCTTCTATTCTTTTGGCAGGAAGCAAGTTTGTTGAGTTGGCCAACAAAGAAGCCGACAACAACGTAAAGATTATTACCTTGGAAAGAATCAAGGAATTGAACAAACAACACCCAGGAGTTTTGCAAGATTTATCATTGGAGATTTTGAGAGTCTTGTCTTCACAAGATGTGGCTGTGAGAAAGAAGGCATTGGATGTTACTCTCGAGTTTATTACCTCGAGAAACGTGGAGGACGTTGTAAAATTGTTAAAGAAGGAGTTACAGGCCACCAGCTCATCCAATGACGATAAGAATATGGAATACAGACAGTTGTTGATCAACGCTATCCATCAATTGGCCATCAAATTTGTTGAAGTTGCTGCAAATGTCATTGATTTGTTGTTGGACTCTATTGCCGATTTGAACTCCACATCAGCATATGAGGTCATAACCTTTGTGAAAGAGGTTGTTGAAAAATTCCCCGATTTAAGGGATTCTATTATCAAGAAGCTTATTCAGACATTGCCCAATGTCAAGAGTGGCAAGGTGTTTAGAGGTGCCTTTTGGGTTATTGGTGAATACGCTTTGGATGAACATTTGATACAGGACGCATGGAAGTATATCAGATCCAGTATTGGCGAAGTACCTATTGTAGCAAGTGAGTTGAAAGCAAAAGAGCCGGCCAATACAGAAGGAGGTGAAGACGAGGAACATCCACACAAAAAGAAGGGTCCTACTGTTTTGCCAGATGGTACTTATGCCACTGAGTCTGCTTTAACTGCTGAGGTCAATGGTAGTGGGTACGAAGACGAGACGAAAACTCCAGTTAGAAAACAGTTGCTTGCTGGAGATTTCTATCTAGGGGCAGTATTGTCATCGACACTAGTCAAGTTGATACTTCGTTTGCGCAAATTGAACACCCAACCCAAGATTTTGAATGCTTTGAAAGCAGAGGCATTATTGATCATGGTGTCAATTTTGAGATTGGGAGAGAGCTCGTTGGTCACAAAGAAGATTGATGAAGATTCTGCGGATAGAATTTTTGCTTACATTAAAATTTTAAATGACGAGCAAGATGTGCAAGAGATAACCACGAGTTTCCTTGATGACACTAAAGACGCTTTCAAAGCTCAAATTACTGATGTTGAGGCAAAGAAGGCAGAAGAGGAGGCTAGAGACTTGCATGCAAATGCCGATCAAATAGATGATGCGATCGTGTTTAGACAGCTTGATAAGGACAACAAGGCAGGCCAGAAGGTGGCTGATGATCTTGCGGTAGCCTCTGGAAGTGACTTGAAGAAGGAGAATTTGTCATCGAGATTGAGCCACATATTGCAGTTGACTGGATTTTCGGATCCAATATACGCAGAAGCTTTTGTGAAAGTGCACCAATACGATGTAGTGTTGGATGTGCTTTTGGTTAACCAGACAACAACAACGTTGCGTAATCTTTCAGTCGAATTTGCAACATTGGGTGATTTGAAAGTTGTCGACAAACCAACCACCACAAACATCGGCCCACACGGATTTTACAAAATTCAAACCACAATCAAAGTTACATCTGCCGATACGGGTGTCATTTTTGGAAATATTATATACGACGGACACCATTCTGACGAATCTACGATTGTGATTTTGAACGATGTCCACGTTGACATTATGGACTACATTAAACCTGCTGTTTGTACCGAAAGCCAATTCCGCAAGATGTGGAATGAGTTTGAATGGGAGAACAAGATCACCATCAAATCGCCAATAAGCTCTTTGAAAAACTATCTTGACGAGCTAATGAAGGGAACCAACATGGAGTGCTTGACACCGGGAGCTGTTGTTGGAGAAGAATGCCAATTTCTCTCAGCAAATTTGTACTCAAGATCGACATTCGGCGAAGACGCATTGGCCAACTTGTGTATCGAGAAGCAAAGCGATGGTCCTATTATTGGACACGTTAGGATAAGATCAAAGGGCCAAGGATTGGCATTGAGTTTGGGTGACAGAGTTGCGTCGATATCCCGGAAAGGCAAAAATGCTGTAGTTACTCGTGTTTAGGATGATAGTACAATGAAAAGTGTGTTAAAAGAATGTGATGTTTTCACGTTTGATTATATATAGCCTCGGAAACCTGCTTTGAATATAAATACAGTAGTAAGTTGCTTTGAGCCTTCAGTTTGATGTCTTCATTGATTTTTGGTTTCACTTTTAATGCTGGATCCAAATGTATACCAAACATCGGTTTCAATTGTACGGCACTGGGGTCTATATTCCACTTTTTCTCAAGACAATGGAGAACAAAGTTGAAGAGTGACGTCAAATCACCCTGAACAAAAACATCATGAATATTCCTGTTGTAGTCGTAGGTGAACAGTTGAGCAGTGTCAATGTATTTTACATTCTGTTGATCCTCGCAATTTCGCAATAACAAATGGGCTTTATAAGTGGATGATTTCAATGTAAAGACATCTTTTTGCAAGTTGTTGATGTTTGCATTGAGTAGGAAGATGAGGTAGTTTACTGCTTTGGCAACATCAACCATTTTGCCGTACACTGTAACCAAAACATCTATTGATCCTGGTGGGCCCTCCGTAGCGAGTACGTCATCGATTTGGAACTTTTCGACCAAGGTATGTTTGATCGCTGGTATTTGTAGCAAGTTAGTTTCAAAACTGCTAATGATCAAAGTGACATGTGACTGGTTTTCATTCACAGATATCACTTCACGAGGATTTAGTTTGGACAAAAAATGTATCAATTTTGTATCGTCTACTGAACTCTTTACTACTTCCCTCTTCAACGACTTATTTGTAAGGCACAATTCTAGTGTTTGGCTCTGCAGTGGTATGTAGCTTGAGGACGCAGACGAAGGCGGCACTGAGTTGGAAGAGTTCGAGGCTGGCCGAGGTATCCGATGTGTCCTTTTGCGCTTCCGGTCTTGTCTGTTGTGATCATTGGGTGTCATTATGGCAATTATAGAACCCTAGTGGATATTATTGTGGTGTGTGTGTGTNAAAAAAAAAAAAAAAAAAAAAAAAAAAAAAAAAAAAAAAAAAAAAAAAAAAAAAAAAAAAAAAAAAAAAAAAAAAAAAAAAAAAAAAAAAAAAAAAAAAAAAAAAAAAAAAAAGAAAATTCAATGTTCTGAAGATGAGCCATATCATCGCCTAAATTTTCAACAAGAGAGAAGCATCGTCATTGCACATACACTCTACTACACTCACAACAATGGGAAGCAAAAAGGAAGGAAAAGTCAAAGAAACAAAGGTTAAAGAAACCAAAACAAAGTCAGAGGAGACGATATCCGGTGAAGACAACTATGAAAAGAGAATGTCTGCAGTCTTACCATTTGCTAAACCATTGGCATCAAAAAAGTTGAACAAAAAAATATTGAAGACAGTGAAAAAGGCATCCAAAGCTAAGCACGTGAAGAGAGGTGTCAAGGAAGTTGTCAAGGCTTTGAGAAAGGGTGAAAAGGGTCTTGTAATCATTGCCGGAGACATAAGTCCAGCTGATGTCATATCCCACATCCCGGTTTTGTGTGAGGACAACGCAGTATCGTACGTGTTTATACCATCAAAGGAGGATTTAGGAAGTGCTGGTGCTACAAAGAGGCCCACCTCGTGCGTCATGATTGTTCCAGGCGGAGGAAAGAACAAAAAGAACGCAGACAAGGTTGATGAGTATAGAGAGGGATATGATGAAGTAGTAAAGGAGATCAAGGCTTCTGACTAGGGATCTATCGGTGATTTGAATTTGCGATAGTCAGAAAGTGTGTACTAGATTTATATGTATATATATATATATATAAAAATAGATACTACTGTTGTATTGAAAATTTTGTGTAATTGAGTGAAGTAGCATAAGACGGATCCGGTGTATACGCAAGCAAAGTGATGATAGGATTTCATGCAAAGTTCGACCACCACTTTTGAGCTTCCCCTTGAAGGGTAGTGATAGAGTCGGTAATTGCGTAAAAAGAGAGAGAGAGAGAGAGATCAAAACAAATTTCTCGGAACTTTTCAAAAAGCGCGTCTCCGTACGATAAACACACAACCAAAGGAGGTGATACATCATTCAAACTTTGATAACATGTCGAATAAGGAACCAGAATCAGGAGACCTGCAAGACTCACTTACTGCAATTGACTACATCAACCAACAGGAAGAGCTCGAAAGAGAGGCTCGAACTTTGATGCCGTTTGATCCAAATGAATGCACTTATGACTTAGGGGAATTGAGACAACAAATATATGCTTGTTTAACATGTTCCAAAATGAATGACAATCAGCCCATTGGAGTATGCTATTCATGTTCTATTCAGTGTCATTCGAAACACGACTTGGTTGAATTGTTCAGCAAACGATCATTCTTGTGCGATTGTGGAACCACGAGAATGGCAAAGACGCCTAACGGAGCTTGCAGCTTGAGAAGAGCAGATCGCAGTAATACGGGGCCTCTAGCGGGAGCACAGAGCCGAAAATCGAGCCATATTGACCTCCCTGCAGAGGATATACCAAGCAATTCAAATGCTTATAACCAAAATTTTCATGGTAAGTTCTGTGCCTGTAAGCATTTATACGATCCAGCCAAAGAAACTGGTACCATGTTGCAGTGCTATTTTGGATTTGTCTGCGGTGAAGACTGGTTTCATGATAGATGCATTATGGGATTGAGTCGTGATTATCATACAACCGAGGATTCAAACAGTTTACCCGCAATCGATGGGAACCAATTTCCCATAGAAACAACTCTGAGTGATGAGGATTCAGACGAAGCGGATGATGGCTCTGCTCAATATCGACTAGAACACTTCCCCCATTTGAAAACGTTTGATGAATTCATTTGTTGGCAATGCGTCTCCAAGTTTCGTAAAAATTTCAACCAATTGGATCAAGAGTTTCCCGGAGTCATTGTGGAGAAGCTACCCCGATTCGTTGGAGTCAAGAGTTTAGACGAATGGAAAGAATTACAAGAAAAAGCGAATGAACCAAGAGTGAAGCGAACGAAAACGGAAACGACAAATGACCAGCATGACAGTGAAGGGTACTCAATTTTCTTAGCCCGAAACTTTAAGAAAAAGTTGCAACATGTGTCTAAACTCGATCATCAATCAAATTTATACCAATTTCTTCAAAACAATCTGTTTTTGTACGAAGATGATACCATTTACAAGCCGCCTGAAGATGATTCCGATGACGCATGGTCATCAACTGCATCCAACACAGAGCTGTCAGCTCTTGACGCGATACAATCTTTACCTCGCGATCAAGCAATTGAAGGAATTCAAGCATACAACGCCATAAAATCCAAACTTCGAGATTTTTTCAAACCGTTTGCAGAACAAGGTAGAGTTGTTACTGAGGATGAGGTGAAGAATTTCTTCGGAGAAATGGCGACAAAGGAGAAGCCATCAGAATGAAGTTTACGTACTATGGTTATAATTCACTTCTATCTTGACATTTTACTATATTTTTTTTTTATATATATATATACACGATTGTTGTTTCACTGCTTCTTTTCCTTCTTCTTTTGCTCTCTCTTTGCAAATTCATCTTTCCAGACGGCATTGCCTTCGTCTTTACTAAGATTGAACAAATGTTCAAAAACTTCACCATACCACTCAACTGGAATGTAGGTGACGCCCTCCTTAACTTCATCAGGAATTTCTTCCAATTGATATTCACAATCCTTAGGGAAAATGATCTTTGTATACCCAGCTCTTTTTGCACCTAGGGTCTTTTCTCTCAAACCACCAATTGCCAACACTCTTCCCGTCAAGGTTATCTCACCCGTCATTGCTGTATCATTAGGCAAGGACCTATTCAAAGCCAACGAGATCAAGGATGAGGTAAATGCAATACCTGCTGAAGGCCCATCTTTAGGAATAGCACCTCCTGGACAATGAACGTGGATGTTTGCTGCTTCAAAAAACTTATTTTCGGGGTACTTGTTGACCATGAATTGCTTGGCAAATGAGTATGCAATGGATGCTGACTCCTTCATGACATCCTTCAACGAACCAGTGACGTGTAAGCCCCCATTTCCAACGTCAGATGCAATTGAATCGGTCAATATGGACTCAATATAAAGCGCGTCACCATCACCCGAAGTATTGTAGGCTAACCCTGTAGCAACACCGGGTTTCAATTCTTCATAAATTCTATCCTTGTTGTATATCTCGGGTCCAATAAAGTCCTTCAAATTCTCAGGGGTAACCTCAATCTTTATACCTTCTGGTAAGTCCAATTTCGCGACAGTCACTTCGGCTTCCTCTTCTTTGGAAAAACTCTTTTTAGCTCCTCCAGTTTCGTCACCTGCTTCTTCAGCTTTGTTTGCCTCATTCACTTCTTTGCCATCAGTGCTGGCAACAGGTGTTTCCGACTTTGACTCGGAGATGTCTTTAGCTTTCTCATTTGATACTTCAGCATCATTCTTCGTGTCCGTTTCAGTTGCACTGACAACAATCTCCTCTGGCTTTTCTTCCTCTTCCTCTTCCTCAGGTTGCTGTTCTTCAACCTGTTCAACAATCTTCATTGAAGCTTTGCTGAAAATTCTATTGATTAAAGACTTGACATGTCTCAAACCACTTTCACGGCAATACTTGTCAATCAATCTTGAAATGGTTGCTCTTGGAATCTCCACATGGCTCTCTTCCAAACCAACCTTTTTGCAAGCATCAGGAATCAAATGCCTTGTTGCAATTTCAATTTTTTCGTGCTTTGTGTATCCATTCACCTCAATTATCTCCATTCTATCTCTCAATGGAGCAGGAATATTTCCCAAGTAGTTAGCTGTACAAACAAACAACACTTTTGACAAATCCACCTTAACTTCAATAAAGTTGTCAACAAACGAGTTGTTTTGTTCGGGATCCAATATTTCCAAAAATGCTCTTGCTGCACCTCCATGTGAAGTTGTGTCCAACTTGTCGATTTCATCAATCAACATTAATGGGTTGGATGTTTTAGCCTGAACTAATGCGGAAATTATTCTACCCGGGATAGATGCAACATATGTCCTTCTATGACCCTTGACATCATGAACATCCTGCACACCACCCACAGCTATTCTGGTGTATTTTCTGTTTAACGATTCAGCTATGGATTTTGCAATAGATGTTTTACCGGTACCTGGAGGACCAGCCAAACACAAAATCTTACCATTGACATTACCCGAAACTTTACCGACGGAGATGAACTCTAATATTCTGTCCTTGACATCTTTCAAGCCATAATGATCTCTATCCAAAATTTTTCTAGCCTTTTTCACATTGAAAGAGTCTTTGGAGTAGATACCAAATGGAATAGAAGTAAGCCAATCGAGGTACCTCTCAATCACATTCAGCTCCATATCACTTTGAGTTCCCAATCTTGCTCTCTCTGTTTTGTACGCTTCCAAAGCCTCTTCTGGCATTTTCAAATGTTTAATACGTTCATCAAACTTCGCTGCTTTGGAGTTTTCACCAATACCGGCGGCTTTGAGTAATTCCTTGGTGTACTCCTTGATCAACATTTGCGCGTACTGCTTCTCTGTTCTTTCCCTCATATTTATGTGGGCTTTACGCTTGATTTCGTCAGCATCAACTTCAACTTTAAGCAACTCCAATGTCTTTTCCAATCTCTTTTGAACGTCCAAACTATCCATGATTTCCTGAATCTGCTTAGCATCACCGCAAACAGACCCCCCGACATAATCTGCAAGCATCGATGGGTTGTTGAGCACTTTTCTACCACTTTCTGCTGCCAACGGGTTCGGCGAGAACCCGGCACACAAGCTTTTAATGCTTTCAACCAAAGCTTGTATCTCAACATCATTTTTCTCAAATGGCACATCTTCAACTGGCTGGACCGCAGCATACGATATTCCATATTTCTTGAGGTAAGCTGTTGGGAAGTTGTCATGTTGTTGTTCGATATTTTCACTTTTGACTTTCGGCGTACTCAAATCAACCAATTTCACTCTTCTATGCGGGTATGCTAGTATATGAACATGGGTAGAATCCAAAGGTGTCACTTTAGCAATTTGGCACAAAGTACCAATCTCATGAACGAATTCCTTGTCCTTGATAATGTCAATATGTGCATCTGGATCATTTGGATCACGCACGTGGAAAAGAACAAAGTAGGGCTCCTTGGTCTCCACAACTTCTTGCAAACACTTTATCACTTCAGGGTCAGTAACTGTGATTGTGCAGTATCTTCCAGGCAAACACGGGCGATCTTTCATCGGTATGGCTAAAAATGGAGTATACAAACCCGTTTTTGTATTTACCAAAGGTTTGTCGCCTTTTGAGCCATCATCACCATTATTACCATCATTGTTGTTGCTGTTGCTGAGATTTGAGATTCCGCCACCTACAGAAGATACAGGTGAATTTGGGTTTATGCTTTCTTTGATATCAACAGACTTTTCTTCAATATCCTTCTCGTCGTTCTTGATACTTTCATCATCCTTATCAAGCTTGTCATCCTTTTTGTCATCTTTCCTCTCTTGATCCTTTTTCTCTAAAGTGCCGGGCCCTTGATCAGATTTATTAGGTGATTTTCGATCTTTTGAGTTCAGATCAGGCTTATCCAGTTTATCGAGTAATAATGCAGTATCGAACAACTCCGGATGCGAGAAAGGATTCGGAAATGCCATGGAAGGTAATGGAATATTTGTAATGGGTCTGTCTGACAACGAATTTGGCCTCAAGGTCGTCGTCGCCGAGGAAGCAAAGCGTATCGTGTTTGTAATGGCACAAGATCGTATGCATGATTGGTTCCTTGAACGGAGCACACTCCCACACTTGTTTAATTTCAACATTCTGGAATCAAAAAGTTTCCAAATTTAATATGAGACAGTCTTTGGAGAAGTTAAACAGACTTTCTTGTAAATGTGAAATGTACTCTCTCTCTCTCTCTCTCCTTTATTTAATGGTGACTATTTGCCATCAAATCTGCTTGAAGTTTGAGAACATAATTTTTTTTTTTTTTTTTCTTTCTCTCCGTCTTACTAAGCTGGCGCGAGGTAGCCAAATAGAAAGAGAAATAGAGCAGAGCCGCATTATATAGATGTATACGTAGAGAAGACAGGCAACGTTACCTTCTAATGAGTCAATCGTACTCAAACATTTGGTTATATAGTCCTATGAATTGTCCGTTTAATCAATTTTGAATACATTGCGTCGTTTCTTTGGAGGCTCAGGATCCAATACTTGGCCATCAAAGTCCAATTTTCTCTTGAGGGAGTTATTAGAGGTGTCATTTGCCCCTAGATTTTCCTCGAAATGTGCATCCTCATACTTTGCAAGAGTATTGATGCTCTCCTCATCGGCATCAGGGAATGCCAGTTCTGACTCGTCATGTTGGACCAAACTAGGAATATCTAGTAATTTCCTCTTTCTCACTTTCTTGACTCGTCTTTCCAGTTTGATTGGTGACCCTGAATGTTCCACAGAAGCATTAGTATTCCGAGCCAGCGGCAGTTTTTCAGCTTTCTCCTCACCCGGAGCAGAAGAGCCTGTACTCCTAAGAACTCTCGGTCTCCGATTCGGAGTAAAGTCCGGGGAAGGACTTCGCCTGCGACTTAAATGATTATCACCATTACCATCATTTTCAAAATCGTTCACAAACTTGGTTGGCGATCGAAATTTCGAACTTCCTGTAGGGGATGAAGTTGCATTGGGTATTGCAAAATCATCTGCCAATGAACCCGAGTCTTGAAATTTCGCTACTTTGGTGGGAGACTTTGCAGAAACTGATTTCATCAAGTCACTTACAAGCTTTGTTTCTGGGATCTTTTTGATGGGAGTTATTAATTCATCATCAAATATAGTGGGAAACAAATGGCGACTTGTGCTCGATTTGCTTGAAATTGAACTGAACTTTTCAGGACTAAATATGGAACGGTGGCTTGGTAAGTTCCGCTTTTTTGGTTGTAGTTTGCTTATACTAGAAGATGAACCATCAGAGTTCAACTTTCTCACTTGAGCCTTTAGCCGTTCATTTTCTTGTCTTAGGGACTGGAGTTTGGCGTCATGCAATTTCAGCTTGGTTGAGTATTCCTGCTTTAGCTTATTAAGTTCGATCTCGTAGTCCTTTGTTGCTGAATTCACTGCAGGTTTCGATGGGCTTCCTCGTGTCAGTTTCTTTGCCCGCGTTCCTTCACCACCGCGCTTTAAAGCAGATAGCCGTAATATCGACAACTTTATGAAATTCTTCCTTTCTTCATCCTCCTGAAGAAGTTGCCGAATCTGTTCCCGTAGCGCATAATGCTTGTTGATTAACCGTAAATCTACCATTTTTGCCTTATAGAAGTTGGACTTAATTCGGTGAAAGTTTTGTTTACCTTTTTCGGCGTTATAGCTACGCTACCTGGGTATTCCGAAAGTTCATCTCATATATATACAGAGAGAGAGAGAGAGAGACATACACTTGGACAATGAACATCACAGAATCTAGCAAGAAGCTTTTGAATGACTCGAACGTATATGAAGCCGCTAATGGGGAGTACCATGAGCTGAGATTGATCAATCGAAGGTATATAGTGGAGAATAAAACAGCACACAAACTAATCCCCAAACGAAATGGTCTCAAGGTAGTCATCGACAAGGATGCTGATGACCTCGACAAGGTATTCAAAGCGAAAGGAAGGACAATCCCGCCGGATGAAGTTTTAGACATGATGAAGCCTGGAAAGTTGAATATACCATTTGCTGATCCTGAAGGTGCAAAGGGGGAGAAATTACTACCGCCCTCAGAATTACTCAAATGTATTCACTACTTTGTAGCACGAAAGTATACCAAAGACATGAAACGACAATCAGACGTGCATAAGTACTTGGAATGTATGGATGAAACGGCGTTACTAAGTATGGGAATGATGCTTGAAAGTTGGGTGGATGAACTAGTCACGGAAGGTTTTTGCAAGATGTTGTTGCAAAGAGGTGACGTAGGTGATGACAAAAGCCTGGGAAATGAAGAGGACGATGATAGTTCTGCGGAGTCTGTAATAGAGTCCGACTAGTAATTCAAGATTGGCACACACACATAGAGAGACAGAGAGAGAAAGAGAGAGAGCCCTCCGACAACACCAAATCAAGCTCTATTTGATAAATGATTGTGTGTACAACTTTATAATGCATTCATTTACTAGCTACATGCAATTGCTATTTACTCTTGATCATCAGATTCCTCCTTATTTTCAGTCTCTGGCGTTTCTGTCTCAATCGCATTCTGTACATCCTTTTCCGGCCCGGTAGACAGTGCAGCAGCCTCGGCCCTTGCCTTCTTTTCAGCTTCTACCTTTTCCTGATATATTCTCTCCTTACCTTCATCTTTTGCACTGGTCTCAATATCAAAAACACGGTAGAGTAACTCATGAGTATCCTTCTTGCTCACCATTAAATTGACATTGGCTCTTCCTTTCCAAAGAGGCAAAAACAAATCCTCCAAGCCATCGCCACGCTTGACAGTCAAGAATAAACAACCCTCTTCCAAGGTGTCCAACTTCTTGGAGAATTCTTCATCCAAACCTGACAGTTTCAACTCTTCCACTTTAGGGAACGCGTTCACAAACAAGTACTTCAAAAGCTCCAAATTGCAGGTCAAATGTCTTTTTGTTCCAATAAAATGCTCAATTGTATGTAAAGCTTCAGTCTGGACCCTCCAAGGACACGTTCCAACGTCGTTTCTTTGTGCGACAAATAACTTGATACCACCATGGACTAGTTTCAACTTCTGGTCATCCGTAGTCAAAATCTCCTTCACCATGGGCGATACGTAATATACAGTTCTCAATGGTTCACCAGTGGCATTTCGAACAAGGGTGCAGTCTCTGGGAAAAGCAGAGGAAAAGTCATAAAATGGGAAACATTTTTTCAATTCTTCATTGTTAGGATCAAGGAACACAAATGGTTCTTCATTTGCATCTCTTGGCAATCTCAGTTTTCTTTCGAGTGGTTTTGGTTGTTGTTCACTGGGAGCAGCAGTGGTGGTGGTAGTGGTGGTGGAAGTAGTAGTAGTAGTAGTAGTGTTGGCATCCTCGGTAGTTATATCCGACAGTTCTACAATCTGCCCACTCTCTGACTCGGTTTTTTGTCTTTTTGAGTCTTGCTTCACCTCCACCTCCACATCACTCTCGTCAGCTTGTCTTTTATTAGAATCTGGGTCATTTTTTTCAAACACTGTGATGAAGAACCCCCCTGTATTTTGTAAATGAGGATACACTCTCACACATTTATCTAATCCGAATCTGTCAGCCTCTTCCTTCGTTGGAGGAAATAGCGAATCAACGAGTCCATCTTCACCCTTTTCTTTGACCTTCATATCTTTCCCAAACACCGGCCAGTTGGAAATACCTGGACGTCTTTTCAACCCTGGAAGCTCGTGCGACACATCCACAAGTTTTATTTTGTCCCCCCACTTCCTTAAAGCTTCTGCAACTATAGCTTCGTTCTCAATTGGAGATAACGAGCAAGTGGAATATACCAATCTTCCCCCCTTTTTCAACAATTGTAATCCTCTATTCAAAATGTTGTACTGCAATGGATGTAAACCAATGGCATTACCCGTTCTAAAGTCTTTCCAAATATTGATGTTTTTTCTCATTGTACCATCTCCTGAACATGGCACATCGCAAAGAATTCTATCAAATTTCAAGTATTCTTTATGTTCGTTCAATCTTATACGAGGGAATAACTGAGCGTCATGGTTGACGACCAAAAAATTGGGGGAGTTTAGTCTTTTGACTTGATGAACCAACATATGACTTCTTTTGTAGTCGGAATCATTGGCCAACACAAATCCGGTTGGCAATTGTTGCTCGTCATTAGCATGCAAGGCTTCTATCAATTGGGCGGTTTTGGAACCAGGAGCGGCACACATATCCAAAACATAATGCTCAGGCTTAACGTCCAAGAGCAAAGGTGGAATCATTGAGACTGCTTCTTGCCTACTAATGTTCCCCACCTCTGTCTCGATTACTAAAAATCTCTGCGTTTTAGCAAAATCTTTTTGCTTTTTGATCACCTGTTTACTAACATCAATCTGCCAACCCAATTTATCAGGATAGAATTCAATGTTTTTGGGAGTTAAATCAACACCTTCATATTCCTTTCCTTTCAAGTTGTTGTAATGTCTGTCAACAAAGATGTTTCTGATCTCTTCGGCATGCTTCCTGCTTCCGGTGATTCTAAAAGTCATCGGAAGATTCGATTGGCATGCCTTTTTGAAATCATCCCATTCGTTATCTGGGATAATATTCATGGCTTTGTAGTACTCTTCCCATATTTCATTTTCCCTGACAACTTCTTTCCATGTAGGATTATCGTTACCAGTATTTTGTCTGGTGAAGGCTTTCCCCTTGTTGTTTCTTCTTGAGTTTCTTTTTGGCATTAAAAAACTGGTCCTTTGGAGAGCTGCAAGTCTATTTAGCATGCAATATTGCATGGTTAATAACTCTCTCTGAAAAATTTACCCAAATTCGTGATGAGATCAAAAGGTAGTGTATGTTGGGACAATAATTCACACATCACTATTTAAACTGATAAAAATAGGGTGGATAAACACACATGATTTCATGCTTTGCATCAAGTTCATATTTGCATGTGTCGTTATGGTAGTTTTAGTGGTGTCAGAGTGTTTGAGTACGTGTCTTCTTTCAGTAGTTACTGAGGTGCCATTCTGTTTTAGGCTCAATCTTCTCTCATTCCTTTCAACACACAAAGCAATAGAGAGAGGGTAAGAGAATGGGGATATAGAGCGGATTGATGTTTACCGACGGAATGGACAGTATGGTTCTCACCCCGTCCTGTCTTCCTGGTGGGGGAACCGCAATTCTCTAAATTTTATTGCTGCTTGTGCTGAATAGTGCACATGAAACATCTCTTTGTACGTTAGTAAGTTTTCGATTGCATGGTAAGTGCATAGAGAGTGTCAATGGTGACTAAGTGCGTTATTCTTTCTCATTTGAAAACTGAAGTGGTTCCTGTTTTAAAATCAATCATATGTTTCAGAGGGATCAATGCGGAAACAGTGACACAAAATGGAGACAGCCTCGGATACGAAAGATTGAACGCGGGCATCAACAACTGATATGCAACAAACCTTACATGAAAGTTCAAAGGGGGGTATACACCACGAACAGCTCTATATTATGGCACCTCCTTCTTGAGGGTGCAAAGCACCAACAAGTACTGGTGTTCAACTGAATAAAAAAAGAAATCGATTATTAAAGCTTTAGTCGCTGTTTCTAGACATGAAACAAGTTGCAAAAAAAAAAAAAAGGGAAAAGAAAATAAAAATTGATCTAACTAATTTAGTGCTGTTAGAAATTTCCAGCAGTGTTCTTTTTATAATTTCTAACATTAAAAAGTTTCATCAATTAATCACAAGTCCATTTTATTTTGAGTTAACGGGTTTCATCTACTAAATTCCCTCCACAATTTGCAAATTTGCAACTGCATATAAAAATCCAACAAATCCCCCTTCCTCCATGTACCGTTTACTTCTTACTCCATCACAAGGACAATGTCTACAACTTTGGTAAAAACAAAAGATGAAACTTACAAGATGTCAAAATCTCAACCACCAGAGACACTGCGTAAAGTTGTGTTCAATATTTCACAGAATTTCAAAGTTCTCAAAATCATTGGAGAAGGAGCTTACGGAATAGTTGCAATGGCGGTTCATTTACCTACAAACACAAAAGTAGCAATAAAGAAGATTGAACCATTTGAGAGACCACTATTTTGCTTGAGAACCCTCCGTGAGATTAAAATGTTGCAAAAGTTTAACTCGCATGAGAATGTGGTTAAGTTGTATGATGTTCAAAGACCTACCAACTATAGCTCATTTAGCGAAGTGTACTTGATACAAGAGTACATGCCCGGTGATTTGCATCAAATAATCCAAACTCATGCATTGAGTGATCAACACGTACAATTTTTCATCTATCAAATCTTGAAAAGTTTGAAATTAATCCACAGTGCCAATGTCATCCACAGAGACTTGAAGCCTTCAAATATCTTGGTTAATGAAAATTGCGATTTAAAGCTCTGTGATTTCGGTTTAGCCAGACTTGATTCCCTTGGAATGCTGGCAAACAAGATTTCGTTGTTGACAGAGTACGTAGCTACAAGGTGGTACCGCGCACCGGAGATAATGCTCAGTGCTTCACATTACTCAACTGCCATTGACATGTGGTCAGTTGGGTGTATATTGTTTGAACTATTGACTTATAAGGCCGTTTTTCCTGGGTCGGACTATATCAATCAATTGACTTTGATATTCGAATTGTTGGGCACACCATCAGAGGGGGATTTGGAAGTGATCAAATCCAAAAGAGCAAAAGTGTTTATAAAGTCGTTACCCGTTAGGTCCAAGATAAATTTTCACACATTTTGTTCGAATCATCCATGCAGACGAATCAGACATCAAAATCGCGATTTGGAAGTCAATCCGCTAGCCATTGACCTATTGGAAAAATTAATGGTCTTTGATCCCAGTAAACGGATAACAGCAAAAGAGGCTTTGAAACATCCTTACATGAGTAACTATCATGACCCATTGGATGAACCAGTTACGTCACCCATCCCATTGGAGGAATTTGCGTTCGATATTGACAAAAAGGATTTGAATGTGGAGGACTTGAAGAAATTGATCTATGACCAGATCATGTCAGGAAAGAGATAAGGGCAGATGATTAATCAATAACGTTTCGCTTTTTATTTTTGTTTTTGTTTTTTTTCTCTCTCAACTAGACCATAGATATTGACTACCTCTTTTCAATGGTGAAGAAATACAAGAATACATATCCCAATGCCAAGAACAATGTAGTTAAACCACCCAAATATGAAACATCTCTCCAGAACGCACCAACGTTGAAGCCAAAGGTGCTCAAAATCACTGCTCCAGGAACCTCTATTGACAAGCCATACTTTTTCTCTCTTAATATCAAATCTTTTACTTCATTAATTGTCAATGCTTCGTAAGCATAGTGGAACACAGAAATCCATTCTAGCCACTTAATTTGAATATTCAAGTCCTCGCTGTTGATAAACAACCCAGCGAATAGCAACGACAACAATAACAATAAAACGCCAACCATAGTCGATGTACCAGGTTCTTTCACCAATATACCCACGATCAACATCTCCACTGCAACTACGACATTGAACAAAACCAAAATCAAAATCGACTTTAAAAAAGCATTGTGTTCCATCGTTAAACCAACAAGCGGATAAGCGATGCTAATTAACAAGATGGGTGGGAGCATTCTCAATGGAATGATATCACAAAAGATTTTACTGATGTAGTAGCTCAAAGGGTTATAATAGTTGTTGGCCCTCTCACGAACAAATATAATTCTTTCGGTGGAAAAAGAATGCAATCCAGTGAGTGAACTAAACCCGAAAAAGGCCAAAAGGAAAAAGAAGAAACCCAACCTATTTTGGAAACCACTGATGTCGTTCTTGACATCGTAGTAAAGGTACCCACAGAATAAACCCACCACCAATGATAACACATAATGAGCCAACAAAAGTCTTGGGTTTCTATATAGGTTTTTGAAAGTTCTCGAAGAAAGTATGAATATCTGTTCGAGTATTGTTGCCTTTTTGATATCATGGCGTTTCAAATCAAATTCTTTTGGATTTTCTTTACCTTCATCAATTTCTGTCTTCAATTCCTCTGCCAAGGATGACTCAACAAACAAGGACTGCAACTTATTTTTCAACCGTAAAAGTGTTTCTTCTTCACCGCTTGAGGTGACATGACGACCAATTACGTCGGTGTTGTACTCATCACGATGGACAGCAAAATGCTCCCATTCCCTAGTGGTGTCAATTTGGCTTGGACTCCTGTTTTTCAAAAACTCAGAGTGAATATCCTCAACATCAATTCCCGATGATGTGGATGCTACAACACTGGAGTCAGTATTGGAGACTTTCACAATCTTGTTGTGATCAACAGTAATATCAATCAAATAATCAGCAATGTTGTAACCCAAGGGACACTTGTATCCATTTTTGGTAAAGAAATCGTTGGCTTTAATCATTTCACCAGAGAAAATCAAATCACCATCACTCAACAAGATCAACTTGTCAAATAATGAGACAATATTGCTCCTCGGCTGGTGAATTGTAAAGACTATAGTACGCTCGTAGTCTCTAGAAAGTTTAACCAAACAGTCCACAACGTTTCTGGCATTGTAGGAGTCCAACCCCGAGGTAGGTTCATCCAAAAATAAAATCGAAGGTGAAGTAACTAGCTCGCATGCAATGGAAACTCTCCTCTTTTCACCTCCTGAAATTCCCCGCTTAAAGCTAGATCCAATAACCCGATCCTTGATGCCAATAATTCTCAACTCATTAAGCACCTCCAAAACTCTTGCTTGCTTTTGCTCAAAGGTCATGTCTCTGGGTAATCTCAACAATGCACTATTCAAGACCGTTTCATAGACAGTCAAGGTTGGAATCAAATGATCTTCTTGATCTACAAATCCAACAATTTCCTTGTAGTGTTTGAGATCAATGCTATTGCCATTGACGTATATGTTACCCGAAATTTTACCATCCTTATTTTTTCCAGCAAGAATGTCCAACAAAGTTGTTTTACCAGCCCCGGATCCACCCATTATCGCCAAACATTCCCTAGGCTTTACCAAGCCAAAAATGTTGTTCAAAACTTGCGTGTCCTTCTCACCGACAGTATAACTGATGTTTTCAAAAGAAAGAGTCGTGGGCTCAAAATTTTGATTCATCATGACATTTGCATCAGTCGGAAGCGGTTCATAACCGTCGCTCTTTTTGAATAAAGCCGATTCGTTTATATTTCTAACGATTGTAACAACAAACAAGAGGCATACCAACAACACACCCACAATCAGAAATATATTACCCAAGGTGAGTTTAGGGTTATCGGGTTGATGATATCCAGGGATCTCACTTTTGTGAACGCATTCACCAGATTTGCACTGCAAGGTGATGTAAGGATCTCCAAACACACTTTGAATGAGATCATTCATGCTTGGCTCCGAAAAACGACACTTTTTCTTGACCACATCACAAGTAAAATCACCTGGCCCTTTAATTGTTTCAGTGAGGAATTCAGATATATCAATTGAACCAGCCTCACCACATAGCATTCTATCAGGCAAACACTTGCAAGCTACTTTTTCACAATTGTAGTGCGTAGTGTTTTGCGCCAAGTCATAATCCAAAACACACTTGTTCAAGTCACAATAAAACGACTCTTTTTGATCAATCCAGAATTGAAAATTACAGTTCTCAGCAGTTCTGTTGCATGAGAATGTAGCCTGTGGAATCTTGCCCTTTAAAATAGCCAAAATTTTGTTATTGGTGACATTGCACATTTGATGAAAGTTGTTGACAATAATACCTTCCTTGTAGCATGTTCCTCTGACTCCATCCGGCATAAATGAGTCACAACCATCATCTCGCTCACACAAATTGCAATTGATACCAGACCAACCGGACTTGCACTCGCAAACGTCCTTCTTTCTAATTGGTCTCTTGTTGTTTCCATCAGCCAAGGACCCACACAATGGCTCAGAGCAATCTAGTCCTCCATAACCTGGCTGACATTCGCACATACCCGTGAATGTATTGCATTGTGAAAATTGTGTGCATTCAAAGTTTGGCAAATTGCAATTGAAACATGGGGGACAGTCTTTATCTGGTTTCTTTTCGTCCTCAACTACTTGCGAAAACACATCCGAGAGTTTGTCTGGATTGAGTTCAAACTTATCGATTATTCCACGGTTTTTGATTTTGGTCAACGACTTTTTTAGATCCTCGGAGTTTTCTAGCGTCAAGGGCGAGGCAACGTTGAACAACACAAGTACAGCAAATAACGGCGAGAGTCTCATCTTAGATAGGATATGGGCTGCGGGCTGCGGGCTGCGGGCTGCTCAGTCAATGCAACAGTGTTTGAAATTGTAGTTTACAAATGTGATTTTAATGACTCCTATGGGGATCTTTGAAAATTCAGTTTGCTATATATTTGCTGGTGATAGTTTTCTAACAACTATTCATTTGCCATTTTTCTCTCTTTGTTGGGTGAGTTTGACATTGCATTACACAAAGACATCACCTCTCGAATTATCAAAACTTTCTTTGCTCTAAGGCAAAGCTGAAGCTACAACGAATCACCCACAAACACACACCCCACAAGCTTGGAAACCATGTCAAAAGTTGAGAAGAACTACAAGACATACGATTCAGCAAGGTTCAGGAAACTACTACATGCCAAATTGAACTCTTCAAAAAGTCAACAAGTAGATGATGGCGAGTATCTGCTAAGGAAAGACAACAGTGATTTGGTCATATATCTACTCTACCTTTCATTCATAAATGATGTTTTAAAAGAGGCACGCAAGAAGAGTATAGGTCCAGGAAATGAGGGCGAGATCACGGAACAGAGAGTAGAAAAGGCTGAATCAGAAGTAATGGATCGCTACAAGATGTGATTTATATGAGTCTATATACATTCTAAAATACGGAATTGGGGTTCCTAAGCGTTTCGATCATATCTATGGCAGCCTTGGGATCCCTTTTATTATACACAAATAAGCCTTGCAATTGGGCGGTACTGACATTGTGCAAATTGAGTTTTCTGTATTTGTTGAGAAACTCCTCACACAACTCTTCTTCATTTTCGTAGAATCGAAGGAACATACGCCTCACCTGGTACTCAGTAGCGTTGCCAATCAAAACTTTAAAGTCAACACGACCTGGTCTCATTAAAGCTGGATCCAACCGTTCTGGATGATTTGTTGTCATAAATGTAATGCACTCTTCTGCGCTTGCGACACCGTCCAAGGCATTTAAAAGTCCTGAAAATGTAACACCACTTGTGTAGCCCTGGTCAGTCGATTGCTCTCTTTTGTTAAACGCTGCATCAACATCCTCAAGCAATAGGATAGACCTATTGGGGATGTGATTCATGAGGTGATTCAAGCGATCGTCAGTTAACGTGTTTTCCGAAATGTTCAATATACAAATATTGTAGTCCAATTCTCCAGCAAGAGCTTGTATGAAGGAAGTCTTTCCACTTCCTGGAGGACCATACAACAAGTAGCCTCTTCTATAGGGTATTCCTCTTTTGTGATACCACTCGCCGCTAGTCATAAAGTCCCTAACATCATCCACAACGCTTTCAGCAATTCCCTTGTCCAAAATAACCGAGCCTAATAATCTCTTTGATCTTGGTTGACCAAATGGTCTCCACTCGGGTCCCCATGACGTGAAAATAACCGTCTTTCCCTCGCGGGCTTTCAAGGCCATATTCTTTGCCTCATATAACAAATCGTTAAACAATTTCCGATCCCGGTAAAGGGTTGTTAAGGTGACAGTCTCAAATGGAGTCCCACTAGTCATATCTAACAATTTTCCCGACCGTTCACGATTGACTAGTATGAGAGCCCCCTTGTATCTGAGAAGGTGCTTCCCCGGTCCAGGAACTAGTGAAAATTTTGTTGTAATTGCTCCATTATCGTGGGTGATAACATTGGTCTCGACTGAGAGATGACGTGAGCTTCTATACTTGTGCTTCGACATCCATTCTAAAAACCACAAATATGACTTGTCCTTGGAGGGGATTTCCAAATCAACCAACATTTGACGATATAGGAATCCAGAGCTTTTCACAATCCCCAGTCTCGCTAATGCCAATCCTGTACCTAGAAGCATTAGCCCACCACCTGCTGCAAAGTAGGGATTGTTCAATACCACTTCTTTGAAACCAACAGACATCATGCCTTTGAGGCTGCCATCCGAGGCACTTCGTATCTTTTCAAAATCTATGGCTTGTGGTTGCTGTGACATGTGCAAATGAGTAGATGGGGAGGAGGAGGAGGAGGAGGAGGATGGTGTGTATTGTTGGTGAAACTCTCTGTTTGGTTACCTGGAGCTACTGAAAAATTTGAATCCGCGAATTTAGAGTGACAGTGACCACACGCAAAACCGAATTATTTTTGGCTGGTGCTTTGAACAACACTTTAGAAACACGAGATCTCGCAAAGCAATCAAGATATCAGGCGATATTGTGATTAAATAGCACATTAGGATCAAGAAAACAAATATCATTCAATCTTCATGAGCGAGGAATTGTCGTTGTCGTCGTTGTCATCATCATCAACGACAAGTACCAACCCACCATCAGGCATCATTATGGGTACGTCAGATACCGGTGAATCTCCGATAACTAATCAATCAAGCAGCTCAGTCACTGAGTTGCAAAGTAGGAACCCTTTCAGACAACCGGCACAGTCAAATCCTCCATCCAATGATGATTCGGCATTGAAGCAATCATCAGAGTCTGAGCCCCCACACTACAACGATCTAAGTCTAAATGACACACAAACGAATCTCATCACTACCATATCTAATGACGAGCTTATAAAATACCCGTTCAAAACTATAAATCGTATACTTGATGATTTGAAATGGACCATACCGACGAAGGATAGATTGGAGACTAGTTTGTTAAATGGGAAACCTATAGAGTATGCGTTTCCGTTGAGCCAACTTGTCAACTCTAGCCCCTTCAGTTTCCAGACATTAATATTGAACGAGTTTGTAGAGTATTGCCCTTCAGTTGAAGAGAGAAGGATAGAGGAGACCAATCAGATTGTACGAGTTGTTCGTGGTTTATTGGTTGGCAGAGATCCCAGGTGTTTCCATTTCAGATTGGTATCGGTTGAAGATGAGCCAAAATTAGGTATCGGAAATGTTATAGACAAGCACCAATGGCATGTTATCCCAAAGAATCTCATATCTGTACATGAATTGAAATTATTGTTGGGAGACTACCCTGAACAGGATCATACAGTTGACGACGCATATTTCAAAAGCCTTAATTCACTGCACAACAACCTACTTAGGTTAACCGTCTTCCAACCAGAGTTCACTAGTGCAGAGTTGAACCTGCTCACAAGCGAAAACATCATCAAAGATAGATATTTGTCCACGTACGAACGTCATCCCGGATTAACAAGCGACTTGGTGCCTTCTCCTGTGAATTGTATAAGCACATTGATCAAGGTTTTAAGAGGACCAATAGAATACAAGGATATGCCACAACGGACAATCAGTTTGAAGAACACAAAGATGGAAACATTTATTGACACCAATCTTTTGCTTGAAAAGCTATCATTTCATTTGAATGAGGAGCAAAATACGGTTGTTCCACCAGACCTATCCAAGTCACCAGCATTAGAAGAATCATTTGTGAGAAAAATCCTCGAGTTGATCTATGTTGGTAGGGGCTTGTTTGCGGAAAAGAACGATTTTCGGTCCAATTATTCCTTCTCGGATAACATGTCTCGAGTGTTCAGTATACTTGCCGAATACGACAAATTGAGTAGTATCAACAACTACAACAACAATGTGGCTAACAAGTTGCCAGCATTTATTACGTTGAGTGCGTCAACATACTTTCAAGAAGAACTATTGGTCAAGTGCTTTGAGCTCTCGGTACAATCCGACCCTTTGAATAAATTGTACTACATCGACGCTTTGAAGGATGTAAGCAATTTTGTCGCAAGCTCCTCGAGAATAAACAAATTGAATGCATACTTGAACAAACTTTCGCAAAACGGGGAGCTTGTTGGGTTCAAAGATTATGTGTCTTCATTGCAAACTTTGGGAGTCGTGGTTGATTCTAATACACCAGTAGATTCGATTGACGATGATGTTATTATTGCAATGTACAAAGACCAGTGCACAAGTGATCCAAAAAATTACCAGTACTTTTACAATAACCTCAAAAGAGTTGCTTACGCAAAAAACTCCAACGCTTTGAAATCTTTTTTAGCAATCGAAGTTATTCCAATGAACTTGGCGTTGCTGGAGCTTGGAGTAGAAGAAATCACCGAGGATGATGTTGTTGTCACTGCTTACGAGTTCAAGGCAGATGATTTGCTACAGCAAAACGGCTTTAATGCAGATGCGGACGAGATTGTATTTTTGAACAGGGCCTTGGCCTCAGTGGCAATAAATAGAAGAAGCTATCTTTTGTTGAATTACTTGGAAACAAAACTTCCGGAGTACGTCAAAGTTCCCGAATTGGAGAATATAACAGAAGCAAGGGCTTACGAGCTTCTCAATGCCAACGCAAGGACTTCGGAGTTTGAAATTATTAGCAACTTTCAAAACAAATCATTGTCACCTGAAGTGGATATCCGTCAGTTGAGATTTGCCATGAATACAATTGCCGAGTTTCGCAAATCCGAAATTTTGTTGAATTTTGTCAAAACAGGCAAGATTGATTCATTCTTGTTACCGGCAGAAAATTGGCCTGCAGGATTAGATAATATTGGAAACACGTGCTACTTGAACTCTTTATTGCAGTATTACTTTTGCATCAAGCCTTTGCGAGATTTGGTTTTGGATTTTGATGAGGACGATTTTGATGTGTTTGATTTTTCAGGGTCAAGAAAGATTGGTGGTCGGAAAGTTGAGCTTGCTGAAATACGTCGGTCGAATCAGTTTATTTATCAGTTGCAAAAGTTGTTTCAAGAGATGATCACAACTGACAAGAGGTGTGTTCAACCTAGTAAAGAGTTGGCGTATTTGTCATTTTTGCCAATGTCGCAACCAGTCAATTTTGAGCAGAAGGAAAGTCACCCTGTTCCACAAGATTTAGACGAGGAAGGGGATGTTAAAATTGAGGACAATGATAGTGGAGTTGTTGAACAAGTTAAGGATGATCCATTCAAGGATGAAAATGATACAACCTTCGATGTAGGTGGTCCCGAAGAAGTCATGGCCAAAAGTGATGACAACGATGAAGTCAAAGTGGAGTCACGCATTATTGGAGAGGACGTGAGTACAGACAAGTTTATTGAAGACATTGACACCTCAGAGTCTACCAGCTCTACATCTTCACAGACTGATGGTCTGAAATCCAAAATGTTGGCGATTTCCACCGATGAGATTGAGAGCACAATTGAGATTGGTCGACAGCAGGATGTTACTGAATGTATTGAGAATGTTATTTTCCAAATTGAACTGGCATTACCTCCAACGTACTTGGATGATGATGGCGAACAATACGATTTGATAAAGAAGCTATTTTTTGGCAAAACAAAGCAAACTATCCAGCCATTGGAGTCAACTGAATCAAGTTCATCATCAGAAGCCAGGGTTTTGATGGAGCGGTTCAACAGTTTAATCATTAATGTAAGTGACCATCCAAAGAGTATCTACGATGCTTTGGATAATTACTTCAATGAGGATACCGTGAAATTGGAAGAAGGTTTGGCAAAGAAATCGATAACGATTACTGAACTTCCCCAGATAATGCAATTCCATGTACAAAGAGTCATGTTTGATCGAGAAAAGTTGATGGCATATAAAAGCATTGAGCCCATTCCATTTAGTGATAAGATATATCTCGACCGGTACTTGGATACAGAAGATGAGGTTATTTTGTCAAAGAGGGAAGAAGTTTTTCAATGGAGGAGAGAACTTGCGGAGTTGACCAGCCAAAAGAATGAGATTTTGGCTGTTGATGAAGACACTTCAATGAATATCATTGATAGCTTGATCACGACAAAGGCATTTTTGGAGAAGAAAGTACGCGATGATGATAAGCTCTCAATTGAACCAACTACAGTTCGAGTTTTGTCTGATCAGATTACCCAGTTGAGGAACCGAGTTGAGGAAATCGAATTGAGGATTAACCAGATTGAAGTACAAATGAGCACTCAATTTGACAACTACACTCAAGTTGGATACTCGATCTTTGCCATATTCATACACCGAGGCGAGGCAAGTTATGGGCATTATTGGATATACATCAAAGATCCTGATCAAAACAACATTTTCAGGAAATATAACGATGAAATCGTGACTGAAGTGTCTGACGCGGAAGTGTTCAATTTTCTTGAAGGAAACACAGCAACCCCATATTATATTGTATATGTCAAGAGTGATCTAGAAAAGGATTACATCAATCCTTTAAATAGAGTGATTAGTTGTAAGTAAAACAAATATATCACAACTTTGAAAATTTCTAAGGAGACAATTAAAAAGAGACAAAGTTAGAAAGATGATATTGAAATATAAACTTATGCTGAGCGCTTTCTCTTGATGTTCAAATTGGGATTGAAAACAGGCAAGTTCAGTGTTAATTCATTTACACTGGGGAGCCTTGGAGCCGAGATTACTGAATCGGAGTTTCTTTTACCGGTTGGTAACCTTGTGTTTGGTGATACTGGACATTTTCCTTTTTGTAATTCACCAGGTAATGAGTTTGTTCTCACTTGTAGTTGGTTCACCATGAGGGAAGGAATCTTGAGCACGGGCATTTGTTGTTGTTGCGTTAGTTGTTGCTTCTGTAAAAAATAATCCTTTTGTGTTATTGGTGTGCCCATCGGACTATACGACTTTGATTCAGCTCTTTGTTGGAGTACAGGTAAGTTGAACTTGGGTTTGAACTGGGGGTAGTAGGTAGACAAATGCGTGGAATTATCTGATTGAGGAGCAGAAGCAACAGATAAAGATGTCATTAGTGGCATCAGCATACTATGATTATTCAATTGTTGCCTTGCCAGCCTGGATTTTTTGAACCTTTGATACTCGACGTCAATGTTTGTTCCCAGTTCAACGATTCCGACCAAAGTGTCAAAATCAGCAGTCAAATCCGCGTGCTTTCTTTTCCAAAATTCCGCCTCTGATGATAACGTGGTGGATTTGGTATCATCTACTGCTGCTGCTGCTGCACTTGCGTTTGCACTTTCAAAGGAGTACTGGGTAGTGATTGGTGGCCTTTGATGGACATAATCCCGAGGATGATGATGATGATGATGATGATGATGTTGTTGTTGTTGTTGTTGTTGTTGTTGTCCTTGTTGTATTGTTTGTGGCAAAGGCAATGTAGTATCTGGACCGCTTTGATTGAAATTGTGTAGGGTTGTGGTCATCAATGGTGGTTGATTTGAAGTCAAGGGAGATTTCAACCTTGGCGGTGTTCTTTCGATATGTTGAGTTTGTAGTAGTGAATTGGGTTGAAAAGCTGGTGCATCCATGGAAAAATGTGGCATTTGTGGGACTTGGTTAGGGAACAATGGAGGGTACTGGTTCCTTGGTGCTTGCGATGGACTTGGGGTTGAGAAATGGGTATCGAATGGTGAATGCTCATTTTCAACTTGCCTCTGTAAATATTCAGATGTATGAGGAATTGATTTCAAATCAACCACTTCTTTTTGGTCATTGGTGGTTTTGGAACTTCTCCTCTTGATATACTTCAATGACTCGAAATCTCCCTTTTTGAAATGATTTTGTGAATGGCGAAATTCCCATTTTGAATTAGTACTTCGGATCTCGGAAGAAGGAACTGAATTATTATTGTCATTTACCTTGTGAAACCCGTACATGTTCAATTGTCTAATGAATGACGACATATTGGTGTGCTTAAAGTATTGGGCAAGCACTTTGCAAAAACTCTCACCGGGGAATATGTAGAAGGAAATGGAGTCGGGTGCCCATCTGATCAAATGAGAGATTGAATCGTTGCTCAACATGTCGTACAATTTGTGGATGAATACAATTTGAGGCTTCCCGGAAGATGTCCTGGCAATGTCTGGGTGATTGAGTACCATTTCAGCCAATCTTTGCTCATGTTGAAATGGGCTGCTCTCGAGCACACCACTAATGGAACCAGTAATCAGCATTGGTCTTGGTTCAAATGTAGTTTTGGTTATTTCTAGTTCTGAAGATGCGGCAGCAACGGACGATAATGTACTGATTGAAGACGTTGAAGACCAGGTCGAAAGAATGGTGGATTCGCCAGATGCAGGTGTATTGAGGTGAAGCACTTTAGACATTGGATATTTCTTTGTGGAGAGATACCTGTATAAGTCTTTGCAAAAAAGGGAAACTTATCACAGGTATAAATAGACTGGAGAGACTACTGTTGTGTATGTGGCTGTCTCTGTGTGTATGTTTGTATGCGTGCCTTATTTCTGTTTCCCACTATTTTTGAGCAATATTTGTGGTACGGAAATATGACCTTTCGATTGCTGCAAAATTTCTTAAAATATTTCTCTCTGTTTCTCTTTTGGCAGACACCCCAAAAAAAAAAAAAAAAAAAAAAAAATAAACAAATAAATAAAAAACCTTCAGCAGAATGTGAGACACTTGAATGTAGAGAATCAATTGTTTTTTTTTCCAGTCTTCGATGGGTGGAAATCTGAATTTAGCTTAATATGCTGACAGGGCTAATTCAAGCAACAAGGCGATGTGAAAAGTTTAATTTCTTCACTGAAATTCCAAACGTTCAATGCACCGATTATTCCTTGCAACTGGCTGAAACTTCCTTCTCTATTTGGAACAATTATCAGAAGTATAATAGAACGATTTCGTATGTAAAACCGTAGAGGGAAACAAGATCAATGGTCTTCAAACCGGAGAAAGGAAAAAAAAGAAAGAATTTCTTTCTTTTTTTGATATGAACCTAATTTGAAAAGCTAAAATTCTCAGACAGCAACCTAAGGCAGTGTTGGTAAATGTTGGTGTGCTGTGTGTGTGTGTGTGTGTTTCAAATCGGAAATTGACAATCTTTTCTGATAAGTTGTTGTACCTTTACTCCGCAGTGTTTTTATGCAAATTGCCGCAGTTCTGAGATATACAACAAAGAATTCTTTAGTCCTCGGCTATAGCAAAGTTTAGTAAAACAAACAATAAAAAAATTTCTGCTGTTGTGGCACACACTCTTGAGAGTCAAAAGACTAAAATATTGAAATTTCTCGTGGGTTATATGCACAAGAAGTGGTTATGAATTATCTGCAAAAGCGTTTATTTCTTTGCGAATAGCAATGAACGAACTGGTGGTTTGTGTGTGAAAATGTGTGTGTGTGTGTGTGTCTGCTGTGATGTCTCGGTATATTGGTGTCGCGCCTCAAACAAAACAATAGGCTATTTGTATGCGTCCTCGATTTACGTGTATATTTCCGCCAAATGTGAGGCTCGAGAAATTAGGCGCGATGGTGTGAGATTTGGTTATGGAATTGGAGTGTGAAATGTGTTGTTGACTGTTTCACGTGAAGTAGTTTGCTTCTGTATGTGGTCGTTTATTGTGAAATTGAATTTAATGTAGGTTGTGTTGTATTGAATATACCCTTTAACAACTTAGTCAGTAAATAACTTCACTTGTATAAGGTAAATTTTGAATGGAATGGTAATGCGGTAAAAGTGGAACCTTTAGCTATAGACCAGACCCCCCTTGAGAAGAGAGTAAAGGGGGGAGGGAAGGGAAAAGTTGATGAATATTTATATTCTGGCGAGTTGACAAAGAAAGAAAGAAACAACAAACCGAAAAAGGGAACAAAATAAAAGCAATAGAATACAATGTATGTTCACTTTTGTTTCTTTTCATTTTCCTATGCCAATTTCAAATTTCAGAGAGCATTTTTGTATTTTCTTTAACCGCATTCTTTATGCTGTGGGTTGTCAGCTGGAGATGAAATGAGAATAAAAGAAAAAGAAACGTAAAAGCGTAGTGTTACGTTGTGTTGCGCAGTGCATCAGTGCTGTTGTTGTTGTTGCTGCTGTTGTACTGCAGGAACTGGTTTGTGTTACACTGCACATCCCTAGGTAGATAAATCAAACAATAACAACTGTGCAAAATGATACACGTATGCACTTGAAAAAGCCACCATCCCCACTTGTCCCCCACTAGCCAGATAGCAAAGTAATACAAAAGGAAAGAGAAAGACAGAGAAGAAAAGGCGCTAGTGTGTTTCTTAAATGTGATGATGCGTATTATCTAATCCTTCTGGCACTCTAGTGTCGTATAATCTCGACATACAGGGAAAAGTAGTGTTTGTGTGATATAAAATTTAGGTAATGCTACACAAAACCTTATTCCACTTGCTATTGTTGTTTTAATTTTGTAGTAGTACGAGAGTGATGACAAATTTGCAATTTAAGGTTTTTAATTGCCACAAAGTGAAGGAAATGTCGGAATTCGGGCATTTTTGTTTTTGTTCAGCTCAGATCCCTGTTCTTTCAAAGAGAAACTCATACGATGTCACCTCACACAAGTTGTTGCTTGCTCTTCCATTCACTGGTGATGCAATGGTATCAGCATTTGGAATCGAAGCAAAAAAAAAATGCACTGCCTTCCTTGTTTCCACCCCACAAGAACAATGTCAATACTTGCTTGCAGCATGCAAATGTATTCTTCAAGTCAGCCGTACATGCGGATGACGTAGCCGAAGTAAAATGTTTTCTTTTTTTTAACCTTGCAGCAAGGTCTACAAAAATTTTGCTGAACGTGAGCAAAAGTCGTTGGACAACGACTCGTAAATGCACCACTACTTCATTCAAGATTTCAAACCAGATCCCCCACGAGCTGTTTGTAGCTTGTTTAATCCTTTTCGTACGGCATATCGTGGAATTTCAGGATGGAAAGGTTGTGTGTGATGGAGGATGTAGGGGGGAATGGCGCAAGATTTCTTAACTTGATACATAATATATCATATAAATTGTCTCATTGCATTCCTCTGTACACCCTATCCTCAACTCTTTACACTTTGTAAGCTAAACACCGTTTCTTCACCCAACTCTCGTATCAAGTTACTTTTTAAAATCATTTTTTTCTTTTTTCCTTTCTTTTTCGAAAGAATGGGCCCATTTTCGTGTCGAAGGTTGTGGTATCATGTAGTAGAGATATCTGCTCAAGGTAGGAAAAGAAAAGAAGAAGGAACACATAATCTATTGTGTGGTTTTAGTCAGTTGCTGGAACGAGAATTGTGCCATTTTACCATTTCCTTTCACCAATTTTCCAGACACAAAAATAGGTGAGTAGGAGAAAATCTCACCACTAGCAAACGTCTCTCTCGCATAGTGAGATTTTCTCGGATCGGGAGCGGTTACAGGGACACAAAAAGCTCAAAATAACCATCTCCTTGTTCTTTTTTTTTTTTTTGGTATAAAGCAATCACCAGGAGGATCTAAACGTTTTTAAGTCTGACCATTAAGGGTGAGATTATGGTGGATTTCACCATTAACCCACAATACAGAATGTGCTCACATGGTATGTTTCATAGAAGCAACTTAATAATGTAGCATACGGTATTCTTTTTTTTTTATTATTTTCTAGTGATTTTCGAATACATCAGACACTTCAAGCTTTGCTCCACCGTCTCATGTTCTAGTTGCCCACCAGGTTGAATGGTCATCACATCTAAGTTCTTGCCTCTAATGCTCCCAAATCAGGGATCTGATAAATGCTCCACTTTTGTCCCAGATCTCTTAAATTTGACTCCTGAATTTATTTGCTTGGCAACGAGCAGAAAAAGACGAAAGATTGTATGTCCTTTTACTAAAAATTTAACACTGCACACCTGACTAAAACTTCAAAACAATGCAAGAACTGGGTTTCCATTACAAGTAATTATGACGAAAGAGCAAAACAAAATTAAAAGTGTTCAAACGAGTTCCAGCAAGGTTCGATGATTGCTATTCTTCCCTGCACTCGTTTCTTTTTATTTTACTTCTAACCTCTGTTAATGTTTCCGACAGGTTGTGCACTTGCAATTAGGAGATTCATGTGGTCAAGCTTATGGAAGGGAAGTTTGTGCCGAATAGTAAATTCTGGGTGTATGTAGTTAATGAATGTACCAATTGTTTACAATTTGAAATTGATACTTTCTAATTAAACTTTGGGAGGGAGTTTTTTATTTTTTCTTTTTGTTTTTTTTTTGTTTTGTTTTCAAGTCGTGCATTTAGATTTGAGCTTAGTAGATCCTTTCCATCTCTCAGATTTTAGATCTGCTCGTAAAACTAAAAACTTTGTACAAGCCACAGACTACCGCCTGTTTGAGCCCCTAAAAAGACACAACAATATCGTTACTAAGCTTTGAAGAGAAGTAACACTAACAAAACAAAACAAAAAAAAAAAAACAGTCTCGTCTAGTCAAGTTGCCCGCCTCATGGGCATTCAAGTGGGAGGCTTTTTGTTGGAATGCAGTCCTCCGTCTGGCACACATATACATACGTACACTTTTATTGTGTACAGGAAAATGGATATAAGGTCGGAGTTTATTGTTTTTGTCATGCAAAGTGTAAATATTTTGTGTATTTCAGCCTGAATCTTTGCTACTGCACACCTTCAATTACATCACAGTTATTATTTTTTCTCGTATATGTCAGATCCATCTAAATACCCGATGATGATGTTCTGAAACATACATTTCAAGTTGGGCCAGGGCAAAAAAAATTGAGAGAAAGCTAACCTGCGACAGCTAATACAATCATTATAGTGACATATGCTACGTATCACAATCTCTGAAATGAGCAAAATTTGTTGCACCTTTTTGGGATTGCTTTTGCTCTTGGCGACACCGACTGTGTTGAACGTTTGTAATTTACAGGGAATCTCCCGTCTTTACTTTTGTGGAAAGATCTGCGTTGTCGTTGTACAAAAGTTGAGGTGTAAGAGTATAACTTTTGCTAGTTGTTTCGGGATGGGTCCGATCACAAGATTCACAATAGAGAAAGTGTCACTCAATCAAAGATAATCATTAGATAAAACATACTTTCCAAATCTTAACCTATCTTGACTACGTCATATCGATTGATGCTAGGACCAATAAAAAAAAGGCGTACACCAATAAAAAATGAAAAAAAAAAAAACTAAATTTGGGTTGGACTTCCAAAATGACAAGCGAAATTGTCAAAGCTTAAGCAACGTGGGTATTTCAGTATATAGTTTTGTTCAGTTACATGCCGAGGCCTCGGCTAGTAAAGGTTAAAAACGGAGGAGACGGGTGGACGAGGACCCTGTTTATATCTAAATATTCACTATTTTAGACTTTTTGCA